GTCTGCTCCGGGGACAATGCCATTGAAGCCTCTGGCGACGAGCCCTGCGCAGGTAAAGGTAAATAATGTGGAGCCGAAGCCTGCGCCTTTACTTAGTCAGGGTCCCGCGCCAAGCAACCTCACTCGCGACAACACGCTGCCAGCGGAGCAGTCGCACCCATCTATACCCACCGGTCCACAAGGCCCCAAACCCAGTCAGGCTGCCCAGGCACCCGGCCCTTGGTCCCATTCTCTCCCGCAACAGCAGCAGCAGCAGCAGCGAAACTGGGCTTCCAACGTGTGGGGCCCGCCCCAAACTAAGGATAGAGCCCTCGGAAACGGTACATTTGTCCAGCAAGTGGGCGCGCCATCGCAGCCGGCTCAAGCACCAATCGGAGCCAAGCCCGCACTACGTCCTACGTCGTCGCATCAACAAGCTACACCTACTCAATCCTTTGCGCAGCAGGCCATGTACTCGAGAGCAGGCCCTGCCACCGGGCAGTCTAGCGCAGCACCTAAACCTGCGCCCATAGCTCCACCCCTAGCCAAAGGCTGGGGTGACTTTCACGCGCAGATTCGCCGTGATGATCGAGACATGGCCTTGAAGGCACAGCAAAACCTCGAGCGATTGGGAGGCGAAACCTTTAAACCCGAGATTCACGAGGTGTACATTGATCAACAAGGCAAGTCCCAGACTACTCTGCACAGCAAAGTGGGTGGCATTGATGCCAGGCCTTCGTTGCCGAACCCCGCACAAGAGGTGAAACCAAAAGATGAGGTTGCTCGAGCAGTATTGGAAGGACCCACTCCGCCGCATGGGCTGGGTCAGGGACCTCATGCCCACCCAGGACCTCAAGGCGCACGTTCTTCACGTTTCTTCCCCCGGCCTTTAGAGACGGCACCGCAAGCATCGCTAGCAACCACGGGCGATTCTCCCCCTCCCCCGGAGACACAATCCCATCCCGTCTACAGCGGCGAACTCGAGCATCCCGTTGTGAGAATGCCAAAGCCTGCACCACGTGTGCGATTGCCTCCCGCCGCAGTGCAATCTCCGGTGCAGCCTGAAGTCACTGTGAGTATGCCACCTCGCAGCCGTATGGGGCCGGGCATGGGATCGCGTCCTCTTGCGCTTACTGCAGAATGGCAAGCTAGGTTTAATAACCTGCTTGACAAAACTGGGGGGCCTGCACCTGCACCTGTCCCGGCTACCAACCCTCGCGGATCAGGGCAAGCCGCAGTCCCAAAGCTCGGTGCACTTGCTATAGCTGCGTCGTCGAAAGCTCCGCTAGAGGTCCGTGAAAGCTCAACCTCGGCGACTGTGTCATTGCCAGCATCTACAAACAAGAAGATCTTCACCAACGATGGAAGCAGCGAGGTTACTACTCGTACAAGGTCGGACTCTTTGCTCGAAGATAGAGAATTCGGTTCATTGCCTACGATCAGGTTGACCAAGGTACCCCACTTGGCAGCCAACGAACCGCCAGTTGGCTTTCCACCTGGCACCCGTCAAAACTCCAGGTACCCTCGCTGGCCTGAACAGGAAATGTTCAGCAAGCCCTCATTCACCGGCGAGTTTGAGAAGAATTCGGAGAGCATCGAAGTTCGCATCAAGGTGGGCAACATGCAAGAAGCGGTCGTGAAGAACATGCCGAGGCGACGCAGGAATGGGAAAGGGCCCGGACAGCCCAAGCCTAGGAGGAACAACTACCAGAATGGATCCAATGGAGACTCACCCTCCAATGGCCAGAACAGAGGTCCACGCAGGCCGTCGAACTTTACCAGCCAAGGCAACACTTCCAATGGCTCTCCTCGTCCTTCACCAAGCACTGTGTGGTCGAACAATCGCTCCACCCCTTCCCATACCAGCCAACCATGGAGCAGACGCACAACTTCTACGGCTCCAGTCCACTAAGAGCCTCACAGACGTCTGTGATTCTAGCCCAGCATGTATGCAATGCTAGCATATCGCACCTGATACAGATTGATGGCATGAGCGAGGTATTGTCTTGAGCAGTATTGGCAGCTACAACAGCAGTCACTCGCTATCTATGGAGACGGCGTCCAGTCTCGATTACAAGCTTGTCTGTGCTTCCGCATCTAGGCGTATTGCGGCAAGCTGGTCTCAGGCGCACAACCAGTTTTGGGTATCTTGTATTTCATTCGACCTGTTTCTTCCTCTTCTTTTCCGTCGGCATATTTACTTCCGCCCTGTACCAACACAAACACCTCTTTTTCGATTGGTGTACAAGAGCTGGAACCAGTTTCTTACTCTTTTCTTTTCAACTTGCGGGGGAATGGCGCGTGTCTGCGTGTTGCGATTTCCTCCCACTTTTCTTGCTCTCTCTTCAGTCGATTGGAGTGTTTTGTCGCTGGTCTTTTTTTGACGACACGACACTTTTCACTTTACATGCCCTGCAGTTGTAGGGCTGGCTGGCTGCATCATGGTCCCATTGCAATGATGCGTATGGGCTATGAGGCAGCATGGTACATGGATACACTGCCGATGGAAGGGTTTACGTGTCGAAATGGGAACGCTACAGATAGAAAGCTCTTTGTACAGCGAATAATACCTTTGAAATCACTTCATCCTCATGTCCTGCTTTTCTGATGCATGCAGTTTGCACCGTGACCTTTTCAGTCTTTCCCCGCCCCGGCTTCAAGGTATGTAGTTACATATTGAGCCGGTGGCGGGTGCACATGGCACTGGTGATGTCCGTCATGTCGTTGCCTTGCACGACGGCTTCATCCGGTTAGCGTGACAAAAATTTGGTACGCGCGAGAAAAAAACGCGTCAAGGAATCTGTTGATTCATCTTAAGATGCTTTCCTATAGACTAAGGAACACACACGTATACCTCTCTCTACGAATAATTAGGTCGACCCGTACATTCTACCTAAATATTGCTAGGAAGCGAAAGGAGTTAGTACTAAGCCCAGATGTCTCGACCGACTGGAGACCCACAGCTTGAGGCAAACACCACACAGTTTGATCACATGACAATTAGATAACTTTTCTGATTCTGAGGTGAAACTCCGCCGACGCGCCTTCCCCCGTGTGTGTTGAGGCTCGTGTCTGATGAAGCCAGTGTTGGCCGCCCGGCAAGCGCGAGGATACTTCTCAGCTAGACCACGACGAACAAGCGCTAGAAGCAGCCAGAGTATCGGTATACAGGGAGAAAGGGCCGAGGATATGCTTCGTTTGCCTAGGCAAGAACCTGCCGATAGAACAGCGTATACAGGAGTTTAGCACTCTAGGGGACCTCAGCAAACATTTTAAGAGAAAGCACCTACAGCATATCAAGGAAGGTGATTCGCTCGGATGCAAGCTTTGTCAAGTCTCCCTTGGACATATGATGCACCTGCACCGACATGCCTTGGAGGTCCACGGTACCGTCTCATAGGTGTATAGGTTTGGAATAAGATTAATCACGGGTAAGTTAGATTTCCTTGAAGCATCCTATGAACATAGAATCCTAGTGATAAGGCGTAGTTATCACTCAATCAAATTTATTGTATACTCATTTTGTGTGCTATGCTTCCGGCACAGAAGAAACTGGTTGGCGTCCAACCAGGAACCACATATTGTGGGTTCGAAGAGGGTTAAATGTACCCTTCTCGACCCAAACGATCGAGAAGTCGCGTCGTTCCGCCAGGTAAGGGCGAAGAGGATTCTCAGCAAGGCCTCGAGGCGCTAGGAGAAGAATCCGACAATATGTTTTGTTTGCCTAGGCTCAGTTGGCCGCTCCGTTGGCTTGTGTTTACCTTGCCGGGAGAAGGAAAAGTATAGCCTACGAGGGATGGTATCGCCGACCAAGGTTCTCCAAACAGTCTCGTTCTTAAGACGGCCATATTCTTCAGAACTGACAATCTTAAGATGCTACATTCTTTAGAACACCGTGTTCGTATGACCATTTTGAGAAAACTGGCCGTCGGGGGGCGTACTAGGAACACGGCCGTCCTAGGAACACGACCGTCCCAGGAACATGACCGCCCCAGGAACACGGCCGTCCTAGGACGAGGATCCCCGTCATATGGGGACCAATTCCGGGCCCGCCTGTACTATCCTTAGAAGCAGCTAAAGCAGAAAATTGAATGCGTAGCAATACTAGAAGATAGATCTAACTAATCATACGCGTGACTAAAGTCAAACCGCCGCAAGGATCTAGTCCCATTTCCGGGGACGCTGTAGGCTTAAAATAGAAACCTAGCACAAATAGAGTGTAGCAGCTTTTGGGCTGTCACCTTTTGATGGCCATTGACTATACCTACTATATGGGGGGTATAGATGTTGTAGATCAGCTGCGGTCCTACACAGCAATTTAGCTCCGTTTTGTGCGAGTATGGTACCCCTTATTCTTTTAGGTGCTGGGTCATGTGTAGGAGCATCTTTTAGGACTCAAAGCATCCAATTCTTACTAACCAGCGTCGCTTCAGGGTACGCCTTGCTTGGAATCTCGTTATTACTGGAGCTTTACAACTTGGAGAGAATTGGACACGAAAGCTTTTGACGGAGCGTAATCCGCAGCCAACTCATTAAGGACGAGTCCGATCAGGTATTACCCAAATTAGCAACACAGCAGCAAGGAGAACAGGTGGACAAGGACTATACTCTATCTATAATCCGGCATGCCCTAGGCAATCACCTACAAACTCCTCTGTATAGGAAGGAGCACACGGGCAAGAAAACCCTGCCTTACTGTCTTTTTTGTCGTAATTTGAGGTCTAGACAGGGTGTGCGCAAGAAGGTGTCGCAGACGCTGCTTAGGTGTGCTATATGCGAGTGCCCCTTTGTAAGCAGTGCTTTACTCCTTTCCGTCAGATAGACTAGCTAGATGTCATTAAATATCTCTATTGATTTGAATTGTGCCCTAACCTATCATGTATACAAATTTGTATGAGGCGTCGGTCGGCCTGCCACCGTGCGCCATTAGCGCGATACTAAGAGTTTTGCCAATAGTCTATAAATATAGACGAAGGGATATTGATACAGTCCAATTAGAGACAAAAAAAAAAGGCAGATAGTGACAAGAGTGGGATTCGAACCCACGAGGGCAACGCCCATGTGAATGCCCTAACAAATCAGGCAAGCTGTCGCTTGAGTCACACGCCTTAGACCGCTCGGCCATCTTGTCAAACAAATTTATAGTATTTTTCTTCCTTCATACAGTTATACGTAATGATTAAATTGATAGGATATTACGCGAGCTAAAGTGCATGGAGCGAAATATGTTCATTAACCATGCTCCACTGACGTGCACGGGCCCCATGATCTGCACACCGCCTTTTGCCCAGTTCATTGCAACATTAAACCACCACAATACCACCAAAATGAGACCAATTAATAATACGTTAAATGATCTAAAATCGCAAGAAGCGCTGAATATTAAAGCAACTACCAAAAAATAGAATGTCACGGCCTAGGTATTAGTCCGGGGCGAGTTCGTGCTTTTGTACGAGCCGCGAACTTGGAAGGATCTGCGCTTGGATACGAGGGTCGTATAAGTTGGGGACAAGCGCTGCCTACGGTGCGGCATGGACGTCGAACCAACTCCTCACCATCACCGGACCTGCGATCCGAACGGTTGTCCTTTGCAAGGGATATCCAAGGCTGTCAGAAACTGTACGAGGGAATTGCTGTCAAGAAGTGGAAGACGGACGTGACACCCCGTGCCGCTCTCGTACGACACCGAAAGAGGTGAAAAAGCTACCCACGGGAGGGTACGTGAAGGTTTTCTGGCACGGAGGGGAAGAGTTAGAGGGTCGAGAGAGCGAAAGAGGAAGTTGTTGAAAAATCCAGGGGCTTTGGAGAGATCGTGCGACTCTCTCGTGGCATTGATATCTACCTTTTCTCCTCGCCTCTCCCTCTACAAACCCGGGCTTCAAAAGTCTCAAGTCCTCTCGTACCCCCACCACAAATCGTTATTCCCATCGCCACGAACATCAACAATGCCCTCCCTCCTCAGCAAACTCCTCCACGCCTCCCCCAACCCCTACTCCAAACGCAACCACCCACACAACCCCCAAAACGTAACAGGCACCTCAACAGGCGCGTCGCATTTCGACCGCGCGAACGCGGCGAATGAGGAGAGGTGGGCGAATGCGAATGCGAATAGAGAGAGGCCGAGGGAGGAGCTGCAGGGGAGGGATTTGCTGGCTGAGGCGAGGAGGCTGGCGGGGAGGGATGTAGTGACGGGGAAGAAGGGCGGTGGGAGTGAGAGCTTTAGTTTGTTGGCGGAGGCGAGGAGGGTGGGTGGGATGGATCCGGTCAGGGGAATGAGGGGGAAGAGGAAAGAGAAGAAAGGGATGGTTAGAGATGGGGCGAGGGCGGGAGAGGGTGGGAATGAGAATCCTTTTACGGATCCGGGGGGGAGTAGTCGGGCGGGTTCGAGGGATCGGCAGGGGGCTGCTGCATCTGCATCTGCGTCGGGGTCTAGGTCTGGGGTCGGCCCCGCAGCAGAGATGAGGACTGAGGCAAATACGGCGATTATGACAGAGACGCGATATGATTATGTCAAGCAGAAAATGAGGGAGAGGCAGATGTCGAGGGATGCGTGGCGGGAGCCCGTTGGGGGGTTTTATGCGCCGCCGCTACCGGCGTCGCAGAGGGGCGGTGGTGAGGTTGTTAGGTTGACGTTTAGGGATGGGAGATTGGGGTAAAATATTGTGGGAAGAGGAAGGAGAGGGAAACGTAGTGTTATAGCGAAGAGGAATAGGGATGGGGGAAGGGTGTAAGGTGCGGGCGATCTCTTCTTGAGCTTCTCTTGTAGCGATGGTGAATTCGGAAAGTTGGTACGGAGCCCTTTCCATGTTTCCATGTCCTCTGAATCTTCTTGTCGCTCTCGCTTGATGCGAAACAAAACAGAGTGAGAAATCAACAGGACTGGTGACTTGTTTCTTACAATCCAATTCGCCAGTAATTATTTGGGAGTAAACTAGCACCTCACAACTAGTTCTCTACAGCCAGTACTGCTATAATATTAATCTAGCGTGCGTATAGAACTGCGTGATCGATAGTTAAATATATTATGAGCAGGATTGCTTTGCGCAAGCAGTATTAAGGGGGAGTCAGCTACAGAGAGTAAGTATGATTTGCTACTGACTTCTTATACGCCGACAATATCCAAGGTTAGTTAGGAGCTCTAACCCATAGATAATGTCGCGCTAGTTGTATCGATCCTAAGTTTGATTCAAGCGGCTTGTTGAAGTTTGTTAATTATGTACGGAGTGTATGTGCAGAGTGAGCGCCATTCACGAGGACTTTTAGAAATATGCATGACGAAGACTGACCTCCTATCCAAGAAGAAGAAAAGAGAAGGAAAATTAAAGGACGGATATAGAGCCCGAGAGAACACGAATTCTTTGATATTTTATGTCAGTATTTTAAATATTAACACACGAGATAGAATCTTTCCAAGTGCCAAATTAGAAAAAGCTTTTTCTACATGAGAATCAAACCCCCATCTTCAACAACGCCATATTAATTTCCAACACTTTATATAGCCGCTTGCCGCCCCTCCACACTAGCAGAGATTAGGAATTAACTGAAAATATCCTGTAGGGGTTTCATTGCTAATTAATGAATGTACTGTAGTGAATATAATTCGCCATGCGACTGCTTTTAACTATTGCGTTTATTTATAAAAGTGCTATAATCCCGACTGATGGTTTCTACCCCACTATTAAAAGACCGTATGCAAGTGATAGTATTTCCAATCCTTAAATGCATTCTTGGATAGGTAAAATAGGAGGAAGCTCAGCTCTACCAGCGGTATATTCGAATCTTCCGCGATAGTTACTTGTTTGGATTAGAGACGTGTAAATGCGTGTAGCCTTGCAGGTATAAAAGAAAGAATAGCGAGCCTTTTGATATCTATTTGTGTATAACATTCGATGTATAGTACCTTATACTACGTCGTCAACTGTATCTATTCATTTCAAGATTACGAAGTTGGTTTCAACAACGTAGCTACAGACCCAAGGAATAAGAATGCTCGCTACGTTAAGATTGGACTGATTCATTCGTTTAGGATAACACCAGCGCGTACTGTTTATTCGCTTGAACTTGTTCATTTATATAGCACTGTAAGCGATGTATATTACTTGGGACTGGATCTAAAAACTGGCCCGATCGGGGCCGCAGAGTCGCGGTAAATATACCCACGATCAAGCCTAGCCATTTGCTGTAAACAGTACCTAGAGTTATCTCAAAGCATACCACGTCAATCAGGTGCACGCTGACGACGTTTTCGAAACTGCAACTGAGTATGCTTACACGCGATCAATTTTCGGACTATGCCTACTGTAGCTGCCAGCTGCGTAGACATTGTACACTCATTACTCAATGTAATCCAGGGGCCTACTTTGCGATGGCTTCATTTTCGTGCGTTTGGTGCCTTTGCACTGTTGCACGGGGCGACCAAGTTCGACAGCAGAGATGTACCCCACGTTTCTTTGTGAAAATGGAAAGAGGAAAGTGCAGGAAAGGAAGACGAGCTTTCCGTCAAGAAGCTGGACAGGAGCCGATGGAGGACATGGCAAAGTAGTCCAACGTGCAGCAAGCTCATGAGTGATGTTGTCTGAATAGTTTGCGAGTTGTTGAAGGCAACCTCGATGAGCGACGCCTTGGCGAGGTTTTCGCCGAACCTGTTCAACATGGAGACGTCGTTCGCAATGGCTAAGAATTGCTATTTTAACATGCGCGCTGGATGCAGGCAATTATGGCGTGCGGACACCGCTAAGGAGGAGTTCGAGATACTCTTGTCGATTTTATGCCGAGCAGCTCTTTGAAACGTTGAATGGCAGTGGAATTACTTGAGGCATGCCTTGGGCCGACAATGTGTAAGCTTTCGGGATGAGCATAGATGAGTAGCGCCGGGCAATATCCAGGCTTGTGAGAATGGGCTTGGGTGTTGCTGTGAGTGGGAATTGATTCGCATACATGTGTGCAGGAATATCCGAGGGCGTTGTACCACATATCATCTCTTACCACGGCCACTCTGTTCCATCATGTAGCCGTAGGCCAGGTCTGGTGGGGGATTGTATTGGATTGGTGGCCCGTTGGCCCCCGTCTCCATAATGGGTTAACTTTTACCAGTATGCAATGGAAGCACCTGCGCTCCAGTGACGCCAGCCACCACTTGAAGACAAGAAGAAAATATGAGCATGGCCCATTGGGCAGAAATAACGGAAAGATATCATGATTGATCAGAAGAAGGAGATGCTCAGGCAAAATGCTGGTAATTTCATGAGACTAGGAGAAATGAAAATGTCCTGCCAGTCGTATCTCGCCTGCAGCCAGGTTTGCCAGGTGCCATGAACGCATCGAGAATGGTGTAGAAGAGTCGGGGGCGGGCTAGAGGTGTTGATATCTGCGCGTTGACAATCATGACAAACAAGAAGTGGAGGAGAGAAGAAGGACGTCTGGATGCTCAAGTAGAGTTGAGGTCTGAAAGCTCGCGCTAGTCTTCTTCTACACTAGCTGCTTGGCGACCCAAACTTTCGGGACCGAGCTTGGAGCTCTTTCCGATTTCCCCAACTTTTAACGACACGAAATCGACAATACCACAGACCGCCCACTATGGCTGACAAAATGGAAGGCGTCGTCTCCGGCAGCGCCCTCATCGACCCGAGCAAATACCCAGTCCCGATAGAAACGTGCGCATCTCTTTTTCCCCCTCGCAACTCTTGCTAACAATCTTGCAGAATCTACGTAAACCTTCCCGTCCCAGCATGTTGACACATTGCACAGCGTGGCTCATGCTGACTCGTAAATTTCCACAGGTCAACAACCTCGAAGAGCGCGTCAAGATTGACACGCTCAAAGATGCCCTCGGCGTCGTCTTCAAACCCTACGGCACCATTCTCGAAATCATCGCCAAGAGCAGCTTGAAGCGCAAGGGCCAGGCCTTTATCGTGTTTGACAGCCAAAAGAGCTGTCTCGATGCGATTGAGGAAATGTCTGGGTTCGAAATGTACGGCAAGGCGATGAAGGTGGCCAAGGCGAAGAGTCACAGCGACGAGACGGTCAAGGCCAAGGCGGCCGACCTGTTTGACGAGCACAAGCGCAAGAGGTTGATGCTCAAAGGTAATACAAGTCTTTGTCTAACGATGACGAGCACTGACACGGGTCAGA